ATAAATTTCAAATATTCGAGAAAAAAAATTTATGTTTCTAGGAATGATGAAAGAAAAATTCTAAATTCGAATATTTCGAATATTATTACAACTCGTATAATAATAATATTAAAAATAATAATACGTGCATATATAACCAATTATAAATAATTATTCGAATAGTAAATAATTTTTATTACACTTTCTTATCAAGTTACGACACTTTCTTACCATCCTCCTTATCCGAATCGTCCTCTTTCTCGTTGCTCTCATATTTAACGGAAGATCTTTGATACTCGTTCACTCCAGGAACAGTGGGGAACTGGAATGTGGGCTTGGGTATGAAGGCGCAATAATAAGGGGTTTTGAAATTCGTATTTTCGTTTGGTAAGTTCTGCTGTCTCGGGAATATAGGAAAATTCGGGATCGCGGGTCCTGTTGGGCCAATCTTTTGTCCGCCATAATTTCCAGGGAAGAATTGCACGGATTGCGCCTGCACTTGCACGTAATTCGGCGCGTGATTCGTGTTCTGGTAGCTTTGCCGGTGTTGCGAAATCGGATATCCAATCTCCGCGGGCGAGGAAGCCCCGTACATCGTTTGATCCATGCCGCCCGACTGTTTCGTTGGGTTGCTCAATCCAAAGAAGCATACCTGATACGGTATCCAGGATATGGTTGGTGTGAGTACCAGTTGCTGGGAGGATTTCATCGTTTCCGCTGTAGGGATCATCCCCGGTGTTGGTGCCACGTTCGTCATGATTCTGCTTTGGGGAGCGCGCATTTTCATCTGGGCGCTCGGTCCTTCGAGTCCTGGAATCGACACTTGAATTGTAGAGAGAATTCGGTGTATGGTGAAATTTTAATCAAATGTCTAATTTATTGTATAATAATAATTTTCTTTCCATTCTATTCTAACTTGGATTTAATTGAAAATCTGGCAAAACTTAAGTTTTAATTAATCTACTTCTGTACAATTATATAATTGCAAGAAGATAATCTTATTTATTTATCTAGAAATTAATGTGATATTCTTATAAATTATTAGAAATATTCTATACTCTAAAATTCAAAATTTAAAATTTTGTTTTAAAAAGTTGAGCGCACGTTTAATTATTTATATAAATAATATTCTATACATTAATGATTAGAACATTAATAAATAATTTATCTGTCGATTTCACCTTCTCTTTCCGTTTCGTTCCCCTGGCCGTGACCTTGAATCGAAGGTTGCACCGAAGGATGCACCTGCTCGATCGTGATTTCCGTCACGTTTCCATCGTCTGGTTTGGCCGTCACGTTCGCATTAATCGCGATCCCCTTCGTATCATCGATCGCGATCGTTTGTTCCGCCATCGGCGTCGTTTCTGCACTCTTCGCTTCCGTCCACGCGTTCTTCGATTCATACTTCATTGCGTCACTCGTCCACGATCTGAAAACGACAGCATCGATATTTAGATAGACGAAAGTGACGACATGTTTAGACATAGATACTTTAACAAGGATATATTCGTCAATAATTTGGAAAGATTTTTTATTCGCTTTCCTTTTACCTTACATTTCGAAATATCCATTGAGATTACAAGCTGTGACGTTAATCCTTAATCCGAGCAACTAAATTTGAATATTGGAAAATTTTTTTTTTCTTAGATTGTTAGAAACTTAATAAACTTTTCTAGATAATTGTGGATTCAAAAATCTAGATCGAAACCATAAAATTTAATTGAAAAAGTGAAAATAATTAAAATTTTCGAACAAAGTTAATGCTTAAATAATTTATTATAGTCCGCTTTTCATATATAATCTCAAGCCAATTATTTCCAATTATTATTATGTTTCTAATTATTAAATCACTGCTGTGTTCTGATCATACACAATGTAATAATATTAAAATTAAATAGCAATACTCACGAGGTCGTCTCCGTACTATCTTTTCTCTCAGTACCATTCAAGTCCTCCTTCACGTCACTGCTGTCAGAGCTGTCTACAAAAGTCCATTTCGCCAATTTTTTGGCACCCTCCCCTCCAGATTTCGAGGCGTCCACGAGATTCGAATTCGGTTCGTCCAACAAATTGCAAACCGTATCCACGTTACTCTTGATCTGATCACGGTTCTCGTGTATCATGCGCGCGTTGTTCATCAGATTGTCGGGTCCTGTCTCGTCTATGAACGTGATCGAATCGTTCTTGCATTGCAGACATTCGACCAACTCGACGAGTTTCGATTTGGGGGCATCTTTATCTATGGGGAAATTCTTGAGAAACTCGAGAAGATGTGGCATACTGTTGTTCACAGTGTTCACGATCTTCATCATGGAATCCATCACGATCTTGCAATGCTCCATGTTCTGTTTACAGAGATTCGCGTCTAGATGTCGTCGCTTTCGACGATCCAGATCCATCGTGGACAGTAATATCGTTCTCAGTTCTGAGGGGCTGAGACGATTGTATTCCTCGTTGTAGAATTGTCGATTTTCATCAGATTGAAAATTCGTCTCTGTTTCTTGAGGCTCTGTAGATTCGCTATTGGTTTGAAAATGTTTTCGTTGATTGGCCTCGTCCAGGGTGAGATATGTGTTATCTAATAGATAATATGTTTTCATTCCATTTGTAAATTTCAAAAGTTTAATCGGTGGATCGAATGAAATTACCTGATGCGCTCAAATATATTAAAAACGCGGCAAAACACAAGACCAATACGATGAGCAGGCTTTGGATCAATTGTATTACCCTGTAATATTTATTGTTTTTCCAACTTTCTTTCAATATTTCATGCTCCGTCAAATTATCTGAAATGATATACGTGTATAAAAATTAAAATATTTGTTGGAAGACATGGATAGAAGATGCAGAAGAATCAGTACCGAGTTTGGAAGTTAAATTCACGCTGCAATGGCCGTCTAATATCGGCGCATCCTCTAAATGCTTCTTGCATTCCGTGTCCATGGTGAGAAACTAGCGACAAATTCCCTAGATGGGAAGAGAGGAAAGAAATGATGTCAAAAGTTTGAATGCAAATCTTCGATCCTCGAATATGAGATAAATTTATTATTGAATAGATTCGTTAATATCGTTAAAATATAGAGATCCAAATCTTGGCAGTTTTAAATTTAATAATAAACAAAATATATTTTCATTGGAAAAGAAACTCGTGATCGAAACAAAGTTTGTGTCATTTATACAATTTCAAAATATAATGTCAAAAAAAAAAATTAATTTGTCTTATTTCAAATTCAAAAAAAAGAAATAAATTTAACCATTCGTTTCAAGTTCTATTTTTCACGTTTCAATTTAACGATTCCTCGTAAGTAAGCGGAAGAATCGAAGTACTCACGTTCTCAAAGATTCTCTCCTCGTCGAGTCGTTTCCATCCGATGGAAATCCGAGGCGAAACAGCCACGAGACGTTCGCGACAAAGTTTGTTCTCGACAATGGCTCGTGCACTCGATGTCGCCAAAGTGAAATAACCCAGCGCATTCGATTCGACAACGTGTGTGTCAGCAATATTTCGGGTGAACGAAAATCGTGATTTCATCATCGAGTCAATGACACTTTAAGTCGTAGCGAATGCTTTTAATTCTTTTAATTCTTATTGGCAATTCTATTTTCTTCCTTCTCTTTCTTTTCATTTTTTTTTTTCATCTGCATGTGTTATTATGTACTTATTTATTACGTGACTATAATTTTATTGATTTGTTCGATATTATTATCAGTTTATTGATTGAATGGAGACGAATGAATCGATCTGGAAGTACGATGTAATGAAAATTATGAATGTGAGAATAAATGGATTTAAAAAAATAAATAAATTTTGAATTTATGTAAAAAAAAATTATATAAAGAATTTAAAAAATGAATGGATGGGGAAAAATTATCTTGGATAAAGAACGAATCAAAATGGCAAAGAAAAGAACAAATAGGGAAAAGGTGAGCAAGTATTAAATTATAGATGAAAAAGAAAAGAGAAAATTTAATATTTTATTTCCTTTTTTCTTATTGTGAAATTTCCTGTTTCGCAAATTGAAATGAATGCTTACCAAAAATAAAATTTTTTCTGCTCATTACTTTTTTATAGGATAGGATCCTCACACGTCATCGATTTCTGCCAATTATTGCGTACACGCAATTTATATTGGAATGCGCCAAACGTGCGCATAATTTCATAAAAGAATATATATATATATATATCATTTATTATTTCTTAAACGCGAAATAATTTCTTTTATAATAATAAATAATATATTTTGAATTAACATTTAACATTAATATCGTATATATTATTATAGATTTATCATTATGAAAAAGAAGAAAAAAAAAACAAAATTTAACTTTTCAGAATCACGAATTTTCAAAATAAATTGTCATGTCAATTGCAAGCAACAGCTTGGAATTTTGCATGAAAAATTTTCTCTGTCTCGAGTAATTGGGAAAAGGGGTTTGACTGGAAAATGAGAAAAGAGCTGAAATGAAACAATTTCGTTTCCTGGAAACGTTAATTTAGTAATGAAATTAGCTGTGCCGTTGTTGGCGCGAACAACGAATATTCCACCAATTTTCCAAGATGTCGAAAACATATTTTTATCGATAATTGTAATTTTTCTTTTGTCGAGCGCTAACAATTTTTTCTCCTATTATTAGTTTCCCTTAAATTTAAATTTAAATCTTTAATTGTTCAATTTTAATATTTAATATTTTTTATGAATTTTTGAAAAAGATGTATTGCACTAATATTTATATAATTATATTAGGTTTATATAAGTAAGAAATTTTTTATTCGTGATATTGGAAAAGTTTATAAATATTAATTGTTTTAATGAACGTTAGTATATCTCTTTATACTTATAATCGACGATCAGAAAACGTGTTAGATAAGAAAAATAAGTTTATTAAGTTAAGAGTTATATAAATTTCCAATAATTTAATAATCTTTATAAACGAAAAAAGTGGAGAACGAAAGAAATAAAATGAAGCAGAGTGAAACAAAATTATCTTTTTATTGTTTACATGTTTATTTGTTTCACTTATTTATGATGCCATTTCTCAAAGAGGAAAAATAAAGAAATTACTCGAACGAATCATTAAACAATTAAAAATGTATAATTTATTCAATTATATTGTATATACTATATATAGCTATAATAAATTTTGTATTTAATAACTTTACGTTTTTTATTACTTCAGAGATAGTTGTGAAAGTAAAACTACATAAAGAGTGAAAACTATAAAGAATGCAAAAAATATTCTACGTTAAATCACGATTAAGAGAGAAAATTGTTTAGTGCAAATTCATAATTTTTATATAACAAATTTATTCGTGTCTAAAAAATTTGAAAAATCTAAAAAATTTTATTACTGCATTTTTTATTGCAGTCTTTAAAGAATATAATTGCAATCTAAAAATGTAACAAAGGAAAATACGAGAGAAAAATTTAAAAAAATCTTTATAAAACATCTATCGTAAATATATTATCAATAATATTTTACAAATTTTATAACTCATTAAACCTATATCTCGAATAATATCTATCCATCGTAAAATTCAATTAATTGAGATATTCAAACATCATCAAACATACTTCCAATGGCATTAATTATCGAAAATTCAACGTATCTCAAGTAATATTACTCTCACTAGATTATTAAATTATTGGAAATTTATATATCTCATTAAGAATTTCATCGATATCGTTATTTAAATCATTCAAACATCATCAAACATACTTCCAGTGATATTCAACAATCAAAAATTCAATCGATATCGTTAATTGATCGATTCAAATCCAACATATCTCAAATAATATCATTCTCACTATCGAGAATTCCATCGATATCGTTACTTAAATCATCCAAACATCTCCAAACGAATCGATACCATTACAAACATTCAAACATCATCAGCAAATCTACCTTCATTAACATTGACTCACCAATATTCGATCGATATCGTTATTTGGACCATTCAAACATCATCAAACCTATCTCAATTCACTCGATTCATATCAAAAATATCAATGTCACCAACTCCAAACTTACAAAGAAACGATCTATCGATCTGGAACTGGTATATGATTACGTGGAAATTATTTCACTCGATGTAACGCGAACCATTGCACAACGCGCAATGTTATTTTCCGTTACTTTCTCCAGACAACCAGCTCTATGTCGATCGACGAAAGTAACAGTCTCTGTTCTAACGTTAACACGCAAACTAGATCCCTGAACAAACACTATTCTTCGATCCATTTGTCCAACAAATTTTCGAAAAGTGACGAGAAAAATTTATTTAATTCTCGTGATTTTTTCATTCATCTTAAATTACGATAAAAGCATAAGAATATCAGATTATTAATGTGATCGTGTTATGTTAATCATACGTGACCTAAAAAGAGGAAACTTTCAAGGCTATAGAACTGGCAACGTGCTCGTAACAGATCGTGAAATGGTTTCTGTGAAAATTAATTCAATATTCTTGGATATTGACGAGATTCGTGCTAATAAATCGAGGATTAAGACTGATTTATATCTTTTAATTACGATCAGTTGATGATAATATAACGTTTCTCTTCCTTAATTCAATTAAAAGATTGTAATCGGCGAAGAAAAATATATCGTGGATTTTACGAAGAAAATAGCCGAGTTATTAATCTTCTCGATTCGGATTAAAGAAGAAAGAGGAAAATGATTGATTCTTGGATACATTTGCGGTAATGGTACTAATGGTAAGCTTTAAATTTAGCAATATTTTAGAATTATTATAATAAATAATATATTGCTCTTGAAATTGAATATTTTGATTGATGAAAATTAATTAAATCGTAAGTATTTTTATATTAGAAGTCAATGACCTCGATGTGAATTTCTTCAACGAATGGATAAAAGATAAGAAACATCTTTTTTTATTCTAATTTCTTTGATATTACAATTTAAAATATTTTGGGAATTAACATTGAATTTAAAATTTCAAATTTTAATTAAGGAAATGAAAAATTAATTCTACTTTCGATAACAATGAACTTTCATAAAATGACCTTCCTGTATTAAAAGTAGTTTTTTTAAATCTAGCTTTTTATCCAACTAATAATTTTATCCAGGCCAAGAGAGAATAATCAATTCTTCGTTGATTTTATATGCTAATGATATTGTATAAACTTTAATTTTTCAAATGCATTACACTTTGTAAATAATTTTATTAATTAATTAATAATTTTAAATAAATTTTATCGATTCAAACGATGAGAAACGACGAAGAAGAGAATAATTAATTTTTATTATCAACAACTCGTATCCATTTCAACATTCCTTAATTTTAAATTATCATATTCAGCTATCGAATTTCAAAGAAATTTCAGCTTTTTCTCCGTCCTTTTTTTTTTTATAAAAATTAAACATAGAACGATATTTAAACAAGATGAAGTATAGAAATATCGAAGTCAAGGAGAACCACATACCTTTTATTTACATTTAAAGTTTTGATTCACCTTGATTTATAGTTTGAAAGATATACAAACGATAAACTGGCATTAAAATTGATATAATTATTACATCATATACTATATTAGTGAAAATGAAATTGAAATCTTTCTTTGTTATCTTACAATAATAATGGAAATTTTATAATTTTAAAAAGTTATAGTTTTCAATCTCATAGATTTATCGTGTAACAACAAGAATAATTTCTATAATAACTCTAACCCCCATCGATTTTGAAATATCCAAAGAAAATTAATATTAAAAATTCTTTCCAATTGTTTCATAAAAATTACCAATATATACATGCACATCCTTTTAATTTAATTCTCTCAAAACAAACTTCACTTCACTATATAATAAAGTTACTTAATGAACAATCATTTTTATTAAAATGCTCGAAATAACATTTATTCGTATCTATATTATAATCGATCCACATTTTCCTATAACCACTACAATTATTCGCAATTATTATCAACAACGAATTATCGAAACAACTCGTCAAACTAACTTCTTACCATTAAATTTTCCCCATCATTGACCAAATGTGCCGACATACACTTCCCAAAAGAAACTTGCCAACCCAGTTCCCTCGCTCCAGTTTACTCCTCACTCGATTTCACCTTCGATCCACCCAACGTTTTCATCAACCTTCCCCCCAAAAAGCCTTCCAACCCTCATCCCAACAAATCCTCAAAAAAAAAAAAAAAAAAAAAAAAAA